AATCAAATTCTATTTACTTGAACAAAATACAAAAACATCGCAAAAACTAAGTTTTTATTTCCGTTGAAAATCTCAAAGCATGACAATGAATACTTAAAATATGCCATTTTTGCAATATGAACTGAGACTATTTATTGAATGAAAAATGATATTTATGCAACTTAAATTACTCATTCACAATCTTCATTATAGAGGCGCTTTACAGATATTTTCAATAAAATGCAGCAATTTCCATGGCGCGCCTTCGGATTGGTGCCACCTTGGAAAACAATTTTTCGATGCATTGCAAGAAATGAGTCCGGACCTATTTATTTATAATGTGGTAATTTGTATTACTGGTGCAATTCTAGTGGTGACATGTTAGCTTTTCGGAATTTCACTCATCATTAGATACACATTGGATCTTACTTTTCTTGCCTTTCTCATGGTTTCTTCTACCCAACTCAAAACTCGGTGAGAAGTAATACACAGAATCTATGACAAAAAGACATTGCAAGCCGGTAATTCCGATTCAGTGTTGAAAAGCCTACGTATTATTTTTGCCGGAAATATGAATTGGAGCAATCTGCAATGAAATATTGTAAACTGTAAAGCGGCTCCTAGAAAATGTTGTTTTCCTCGTGTGGTGCTTCACGGTTGTCAGTTGTCAGATGAAGGTAATAATGCGATTTGTTCCCATTTGATAAATTTTGAATTAATTCACGACTTATTTGAAAAAAGTCATTTGAATTAATTCACGAATTAAATCACTGATTTAATTCATATGAATTAATTCGTGCCAACCCTCGTTTCGAGTTTCTGGATCGCAACAGTGCAGGAGTGTCCCCAAATGGCATTCATGACCACCATCTGGTGCGAACTTATCCAATGTAAACACATCTCAGCATTTAATCGAATCGTTGCGAAGTATTCGGGAGTATGTATTTCAATGGGAGGATATGAAAAGGAGGTAGGTGTTGGAATTTTTTTTTGAACTTATGAATTCCAGGAAAGCAGGCGTGTTTCTCTCGTTATCTACCAGTTTCGTTCATTTATGAACTTTTGTTTCCTAACAAGTGCGAGAAAGACACTTTCCGCATGAATTAGGAACAATATTTCTTCTACAAGCGTAGAAAATTGTTTGATTTGTTCAATTATTCATTCATGCCAATAGGAACAATTAACAAGAGATACATATTCTCTACAGGGTGTTAACAAATAAGTGTCACAACGGAAAACTGTAGATTCCTCATGATGATAGAAACATTTATTTCCTCTTCAAAAATTTTCTCCGGGCTTTCGTTTTCAAGATACAGGGCGTTCATAAATCAAAAATGTTCAGATTAATTAAACACACTTTACAACATTAAAAAAACTTAACAAATCGAAAACCAGCATCGAGACCAGCATACTCAAGAACCTGAAATTTGATTCAACATATTATTAGACAGTTCTGAGGTATTTATTTCCAGTGGATTTTTAGACGATTTTTGGAGATACCATCAGGATTTCGTATGTTTTTATTCATAAAGATCCATTTTTCTCGGAAACTATTGACTTTAGAGCATTGAGACAAGAGGACGTTTTTTGTGTGAAAGATATTGGCGTTTCAGAATCTACTTCGGAAATTACAATTTCTCCAGTGGCATAAATGTTTGGGGGGTTAAACCCTTACGAGGCGTTGAATTCTCCTCCACAGACATGTCCACGGAAATTGATCAAGAGCCCTAAAAGTAGTCATTATTGATGATGAAGTATGTACGAAGGCTCAACTCCGTAGCTCAGACGGTTCCTGAGATATTAGCAAAAAACAGATTTTTTTGTATTTTTTTGACGCCCTGTATCTTGATAACGGAAGCCCGGAGACAAATTTCGAAAGGGAAAAAAATGTTTCTTTTTTAATGAGCAATCTACAGTTTTCCGTTGTGACACTTATTTGTTAACACCCTGTATATACTAATTATTAGATCTATGTTATTATAGTAATAGCTATTGTGAATGTACAGTTTGATTGCGGAAGCCGGCATAGCCATAATGTGTTTTGTCTCTAGGTTTCAGACACTTCTAGGAAATGGGCCAAGAATATTTCCTATTTATTTGGTATTTTCATTTTTTTATTGTTGCACTATTCAATAAAACGCGGTATTGCTTCTTATACCTTTCTTGAGACGTCGTTATGCAAAAAACGTGGGTTCACTTCGTAAATAACAGTTCAATCGCAAAACTAATTATTCCATAATCTCGACCATAATTCAAGACTCCAATTCTAGACCATTGCTGATTTTTTCGCAAATTATTTTTTTTTTCTGAATCACGGGTTTTGCTCTCCGTTTTGCTAGCGTAACCGTTAAGCTAGCAGAACCAAATTTCAAATAGTGTGAATATAACGAATATTGAGTACACCATAAATAAACCATAGTTTAAGGCCCTCTGTTGAGCCCATCATCGATTTTTTCGTTATCATTATGTGAAAATTTCCGAAAAAATTCAACATGAACATGACAAACTACTGGCAAATTAATAAAAAGTTCAATGACAAAACTGATTAAACCATAATTGAAGGCTAATTTGGGCTCCAATCCTAGCCTGTTGCCGATTTTTCCTCACATTGTTTTTTTCAAAAAAATCATGGGTTTTGCTGGCTCAAAGGTTAAGCTAGAAAAAAACCATGATTAAAAAAAACAATGTGCGAAAAAATCAACAATAGGCTAGGATTGGAACGTTAAATTAGCCTCAAAAATTATGTCATATGTTCATGTTGGATTTGTAAACATTTTTGATTCACAAAATAATCGATGACAGACTCAACAAAGAGCCTTAAAATATCCTCAATTTATGGTGTACCCAATCGTTATATTCCCTCTATACAGGGTGAGTCATTAGTGTGGCAAAGTGAGATAACGGCCTTACTGTTTGAGATAGATGAACAAACATTCCAGAAATGATCTAGGATCATGAGCAGCACATTTCCAAATGATTTTGCTTCATACAGGGTGACTCAGAAATGCGTGGCGTATCAAAGTTATACTTTTTCTTATGGGACATCCTGTATTTCATTGCATTTTCGCATTCTCCTTTGTGAGCTGATTTCATTAATGCATCACACTTGGGGTCTAGCGAGAATGATTACAGAGATATAGGGTGTTCAAAATCGAGATTTTTCAACTTTAGGATTTTTTTGGGTCGAAACTATTCATTATAGGTCAAAACGGCTTTCATGTCCCTATCCCAAATTTTGATTTACTATCTACTGACATTTAATTGGAACAAATACAAAGGTGATCAGAATGCTGAATCTTGAACCACCCTGTAGGCCACCCGATAGGCCAAATATTATCACTATTTTATTTGCCCTCAGGGTCACACCGATTCAGTGGAATATTTTCGATTCTTGTGGTTGCCTATTAATTTAATAAAACTTATTATTATCCATCAACTTTTGACACCCAGTAGGTATCTTGAAAATACCTATTATAAATGCCTATAAGCATATTGATATGACCTTTCATCAATATGTACATGATATTTAGGAAATACCCGAATATTGAATCCCGTATACATATATCGATGTAGTTGGTATTTTATATGAGATTTTTTTTTTAGATATACAGGGTTTGCAATTCAATTAATCCACGAAAAGCTCAAGGCTCTCCATTTAAAGGTTGAAGACCTTTTATATCACAGTGACAGTGACGTTGTTGCCGAATTGCGAACAACTTCTGAATCATCGGGAAATATGTTGAAAGACAAAAAACTGTGTACAGCATCATACCTAATTTTCATAAATGTCAAATAATAATTCCATAGACAGGATATAGGTATTTTGCCTAGCATTATCATGAACCTTTTTCACCACAACTTTATGAAAATATCATTTCATATCATATCATTAAAAAAAAATACCTAAGTAGAAATTCCCTGAAGATTTCAACTTTGCCAGCTCAATCATTTCCTCTAAAATGAAACAAAACAAGCATTTATCGTTTATCGAAAGTCAAGGGACATTATCTCTACTCTAATGACACCCAGCCCAGCTGATTTGAGCGACGTTGCCAAACCTGTTGTTCACGTATCCATGTCATCGAGACGACGGCGTATAACTGATTTCCAAGAACAGCCTTCATTTTTTTCTGACCGCGTATCAAAAATCGAGTAGAAATCATTTAGTTTTTTTCACACATTCTTGTTGACTGTCAATAGTAACCTAAATGCATTAGTCTGTGGCCTGGGTACCAAAAAGTGAAATTCTTTCACACCCACATCCATTATTTTGGGTATTATTTCACCTGGATCTAATTTTAACTTTCCAATGAAAATCTGGCAACCCCATTGGCAAGGTCTACCCGGCTCAGAAAATGAGTTCAAAATCTTCAAATTTGGTTTCCCAAGCAACTTTGCCCTTTATCGAATGCTGTTGAATATTTAAACTGGTTCATAAACTAGTTATTAAAAGATAATTGAAATACCTACTTGAGACATCTGATTTTCCTTTGTGATTAGGAATTAATAAACATAACTAATTGAAAATCAGCAGCCAATATGTTGTCAGAGGATTGTAATTATACAATAATTAAATTAATGTCACAACACAAAAAGTATCTGAAAGTTATCCATCCGTTATGTAGAGAAAATGGTGGATTTAGAATGAAAACCTTATGTGTGATATATGCCAGAATTCCAGATTCAAGATTTTTTAAAATTCCAGGTTTTTGAATATCTGAGATATAACAAAATAAGTTCAAATTTGGGTTCTGAATGAGTCTTGAAATTTTTTCAATATGTTGACGTGGCTACGGCTACACAGGGGTGTATAATCATTAATTCACACAGAAAATGATCTTACAGTTTACCGATAGTATTTTGAAAAAGATGCAGAAACAAAAAATCCAAAAACCTGATTATAGCAACAAAATATTAGGTTAAATAAGTCATCAGTCATCTGAATATGGCGACTACTACACTGGAAGGCAACAGATTGTATTACTTATCTGATTGATGGAATTGCAAATTTTCGTACTCACCTGATTTTTCAGATATTCTTCTATTGCACGTAAAGCCGAATCCGTTAATTTCACAAAAATCAAGTCCCTATTTTCACCATAATTTTGTTGTGAAGATAACCCATAGTGAACACCTGGACAGAGCGCCGCCATTTCTGTCCATTAATCCATCTCTTTCTCTCTTGAGCGCTGTTGTCAGTCGATCCCTGCCCAAGGTTATTAGAAATGTACAGGGTGATCCTCAAGGTCGAACTGTGCTAAATTACTGACTTTCATTAGAATGCAGCGACCGCCAGAATGCAACCAATTTGAGGATATCGTATCGCCATCGACGAATCGAGGTGTTATGCACTGAATTGGGTCGCTGCTATGCTTTTTCGTTTTCACCATAGAGCAAAGTTACACGGAATAACCCTCGACCCAGTCTTTGTCGATGGTCTTTATTCTGAGTTTCAGATCGATCTACGCTCGTGTACTTGTTACTCGAATACACGTTATTACAATCACTGCCTGTACGAATATATCCAATGTATCATTATTCAACACTTTCTCATTTAAATCCTATTTAATTTCTCCATACCATCGCATCACAAAAGTGTGTCTATTACGACGCGTCTGAACAGCCACAGCCATATGCATCGATCCTCTAGAACCTTTTTTCCCACGAATTTTTGTCGAATTTACAATTGCAACCGTAAATTAGACAGATAAAACTTTTTTTTGCGAACCACATCTCGATATTTACAGTTGCAACCGTAAATAAGGCAAAGATTCGTGAAAAAAAAGTGTTTTTAAGATGCATAATATAGGTATAGGTAATATATGGGTAGGTATATATGATTTGGCAGTTCAGAGGCGTCGTTATTTATGCAAAAAAAAATTTCTACAAACGTCAAAAAATGGCAAGGTTCGCGCATTGATAACAATATGCGCAGTGACACTTTTTGTACAGTTTCCTACGTTACCACGACTCCATGCGCGAAGTAGTGCGCGAAGTAAATATATTTCGCACATTGCATTTTGCGCACTATAGATACAAAAATAACTATTTTAATTCAATATTTTGTAAATAGCCATTAGTTTGAAATTCGAGGCTCATCTAGATTATGAAATAATCGCCATCAGATGTTTAACATTATTCATATTGTCAGAACCTGGGAAAATGCGGTCAATACAATAATCGACTAAGGTGAATAGAAAAATTGAAAATCAGAAAAGATCTCTGGAAAAGTTAGAAAGTTATTTACTATAACAAAAATGTCAAAAGATGCGAAAAATGTTAAATAACTATATTTAATAAATACATATATATATGTATAATTATTTGTAGTATCAGATGATAAAAAATTAAGCAAATGGTCCAAAAATATAAAGAAAAAATCACATAATTCGCGATAGAAAATAACACGTCGCCCCATCTGACGGCAACAACTGGAACACTTCTGAGCGGTTTGTTTTGATGCTATGACCAATAAGCGCAAACAAAAAACAAATGTGAACCAATGAAAACAAAGTAAACAGGCCGCGTTGACAGCTTTCAAGAACTCCGATAGGTGGCGTAAGCTTATTTTCTATCGCGAATATATTATATTGGCTTAATAATTTCAAATGTTCTGTTCATACTTATACTTATGCACTTTGCCGGATAGTCTAGAACGCTAAGGCCACAGAACCGTACAAGCAAGCTAAAACCTCAGTAAAAAACAGAAAGAAAAAAGAAGAATGGCTAGATGTCCAACTATGGATAAGAGGCCGAGAAACGTAAAAGAAGAATCAAGAAGAGGAAAAGAGGGATAAGAACAATAATAATACAGCCTAAAGTTTTCGAACCATTTCCAAACCTCAATGTCAGATTTGTCACAGTGAATTACGTGATACAATTATGGGTCGCATGCGCATTTGCTCGTGGAAAAATTGTATTAACATATTAACAAGACCCTCGGATTCTCGAGAGGAGAGAAAACATCCTTCCAAGCCTAAATCACTATAGAAATGATCACAGTGGGCTGACGCCATGCGTGACTAGACTAAAACTCCCTGACCAAACTCAGCCTCTACAATTTTATTGCCAAAAATAATAATCAAAAGAGGCGAATCTCAACATATCACGTGATGAGAATGGTTCGAAATATTTTGGCACTTCTTCGTTCGTCATCCATGGTTACATTGGTCGAAAATTAACGACATAAGGTTCTTGTTCATAGAAACTCCGTGAAAGGCGCTGATATCGTCATATTTTTAATTTTTAATGGTCAGCGACCTAAAAACAACAATCATTTATTCCTACGACCAAAAAAAAAATAGAAAAATTGTATTAGTATGTAGGTTTATTGATTCATTGATATGTTTAATGAAATTCTGATAATTGAGTACCTATTTCCATTTTAAAAATAATTCGTACAGTGACATCTATCAGAATAAAATCTAACAAGAACCTTATAATACGATTTTCAAATGTTTATTGACGTCAGTTGATTGATATATTACGTTCAACGCTCACGCTTAAGCGTAATATATCAATTAACGTAGTCGTCAAGTTTTGGCAAAACAAAAGCGCATCAGTGAAAACACCATATTAAATTCGTTTTATTGTTGATTTGGTTTACAGCTCAAGATTCAAGACCACTTGTTAACATAACAAAATGATAAAATGCAAATGCCTTTCGTATTGCTCTTCGCCATTTGTTATCTTGATCTTGACATAGACGTTACGTCACTGTAATAGACGCCAAATTTGTAATTTGCGTTGTAAATGGGTTTCTTCCATTTCTCTGGTTTCTCTTATTCTCCTTCTTTAGAGTTGGCAACATAGCAAAATTTCAGAGGACTGCGCATAAGAAAAGCTCATAGTTAGCAATGCGCAAACTCACATGTTTTTTTCTCATTTGACTCGTTCTGATTTGGCAGTTCTGTTCTGAAAGTTATTCGGGTTGTCCCAGTACAGTCTACGAACTACACTGTTCTTTGGTGAGTTATCCAAATTATTAAATCTACAGTTTTTCACTCGAAATAGTGTCATCGGTTCATCTAAAACTCAAAAATTGAAGAAATTATTTCTCGTGGATTGATTTTCGACGTAATGTTCGTTGAAAAAAGTTCAATCGTCACGAATCAAATGGATTGCTCTTACGTAAATCTATCGGGCTATGCTATCCGGCCATTATTCTGATATCATTTGTTTGTAGGAGTTCAAATCTTATTTTGGTATGAATTGAATTAATATTAGTGCTTTTGTTTCAAAGACTCCGGTTAGTACTAAAATCATTATCAATAAGTGAAAACACTTCTAGTTTCATACATAGTTATGTAACTTTGGTAACTGGAACTTTTATCATGGGATAGCCGCTATGACTTTGACAGTTCCTTCGTGGCTGCCATTTTACTAACTTTTTAACTCCTCTTTTAGGCTTGAAAGTAGCGAACGAAATAAATAAATACAAAATGTTTGCCTGTACCAGACTGATTGCCCCAGCTACCAGGAGTGCTGTAAGTACTTTCACCAAAATCCCCTATATTCCAAAGGTTGAAATTTGTGATCATTATGTAACCTATTCAAAGGATCTGCCTATTTCTGCTTCCATATGAAGTCCAGAAATGATGATTATAAGTTGAGCTATTGAATAATTTGAATTCTTCATGCAATCTTGAAATAAATAATGTGTTTTTCTGATTTTTTCAGCTCATTGCCAGCTCTAAACAATACCTGAGGCCACTGAGCAGTGTAGTTAGTCAAAGCCAGATTCAAGTACAAAATGTGCAGCAACACAAACAGCCATCTCTTTTACCTGCTATTCGTAGTTTCCAAACCTCACCAGTCAGCAGGGACATTGATTCTGCTGCCAAATTCATTGGTGCTGGAGCTGCCACAGTAGGAGTTGCTGGATCAGGTAGGATTCCCATTTATTGCATACTAAAAGAAGTTTCAAATTAATCAGAATTTGAATGAACATGTAAATTATGTAATGTTATAAAAAATGGTAGTTATTTCACAGGTAATTTCCTTATATAATTGGAGGTATTGGGATTTTTTCAATATGGGATTGCTGGTATTTATTATTTCACTATCAATCCCTTTGAAGTACATGGATATATTAAGTTCTTGTTGAGATTAGGGATAGGCATGGGGGATAGGTAATAAAATTATAAGTAGTATCAACATCAAATCATATCTGAGAAGTACTGGGGAATACAAAAATAGAGAAAAAAATAAAGAAATTAGATCAGTTATGATGGTTATTTAACAATTGATATCTAAAATTGAGATTCAATAGTTGATACAGCAATATTTGACCTGCATAAAAATAGTAGTTGTCATCTGAATGTGTCAATTATTGAATTGAATTGAAGAGTGGGAAAAACTTGAGGAGTGAGAATTCTTTAAAATCACAGCTTTTTCTAGTTATATCATTGTTTTTCTTGCTTAATGAATAATAAAATGTTTCATTGAAACATTTTTATGTAAAATATGGAACAAAACTGATTCGTCATGGAATTTGATGCAGTTTCATTTGTCACTCTGTATTCCCTAGTCTCTAGCAAGGATGGATACACATTTTTAATAAAAAAATTATAATATGACTTCAGCACACAATTGCTGGCTGAACTCTATAATGTTTAGTTTTTCATGCTGTTCAATTCCAAGAAATGATAGATGCAATTTAAAGTGGTGTCCTTATTTTAAGTGACTCACAATGTATAATTTTTATATGCCTATTACACTTTTCAGGATTTTCAGTTTTTTGCTAATGTGATTTTGAAGTTTTGTTTCTTCCATTTATAAAAATATGGGTTCACTGATACTAATAGATGTTTTTACATAACTCTTCCGACCTGGAAACTACAATAACCACAAGATTTTTTTCAACAAATTTTACTTTCTATTCCATAGAATTCGTTGGTCAAATTTGAGAATAAAATGTCCAATATTCTGAATCCATGTGATCGTTTCAGGTGTTGGAATTGGAGTTGTTTTTGGTTCGTTGATGATAGGATATGCTAGAAACCCATCATTGAAACAGCAGCTTTTTTCTTATGCCATTCTTGGATTTGCCCTGTCAGAAGCAATGGGTTTATTTTGCCTCATGATAGCTTTCCTAATGTTATTTGCCCTATAGATTTAAGAAACAAAACGGTTTCAGAGGACAGTTGATTGTGTTGAAAATAAAACCATTTTTATCAAACTTGTATGCCCTTTTTCTGAGGTGGAATATAGAACAGGAAAAGGTGTCTTGGATTTGATAGATATATTTCAAGAGATGTTGCTCAAAATGTGAGTAAATGAAAGCTTTTTGACAGAAGACAGATTTTTTCATGGTAATATTCAGACAGATGAAAAATATTCAGTGAGATGGAACAAATGTGATACTTTCTTTGATAAACAATATTTTTTCTGCAATCAAAATAATTGATATCTAGTTATGAAAAATATAAGTGAAAATGCCTTTATTTTGAGTCACTTGTGCATGTCAGTGTCAAAGCAGCTATCATATCAGTTGTCATCCCACAAGTTTTTGGTTCCTAGGAGTTAAACTTCAACATGAGCTCCTAGACACTAAAAGTGTTGCCTAACAACATACATACTATTCAACTTCAAGAGCTAATGGAACAAAAATGGACGACTTTTTAGCTGAATGCAAAAAATTATTATTATTATTTTTAATGCTTGTACATAATTTTCAGTTTGCAAAGTGGACTGTTTGAACCACAGATTAAGTGTTAGAATTTTATTATCTATAACATTCTAATTATAAATGTCACATTGACATTTTATTCAGTGTCATTGAAATACCTAGTAATGAATATACAGGGTGATTAAGGTTTTGAGGCACAAACTGTAATGAGAGATAGATTTCATCATTTCAATCGGATAAGTTCATATAAACATTAGTCTGATCTCGTCCAGAAGCGGAGCTACAGGGGGTCAAAGATCAATAATTTTGTTATATTAATTGAAATATCTCGCTCACTTCTTGAGATTTCATTTTGAAATTTGGTGTGGTCAATACTTCCTAGAAGATCATCATTTCAAGCTATCTGAAGATTTTCAAAATCTACAGGGTGATAGGTTTTTGTGGGTAGATGCTTCTTTATCCCCTCCAAATTTTTCGTCGTACGCCTCTGGCATCTTTCACTGATCAAATTGTGTGGATCGTTCAATTTAGAGGCTTTTTTGCTTCCTAATTCTTTTTGAGAAAATGAACCGTTTTTGAGATAAATGAGCATATACATTCTAAGACATGTTAATTTTGCCTATGTTTCGCATAAATTTTATTCTTAGACAAAATTCGTTGAGAATACAATAAAATGTACTCACTAAAATTGCAATCACTGGTCCAATCTGGATCAGTTACGGGAATACGGAGGGTAGAAAGTCGAGTTTTTTTTTCAGTTAAATGAAATTTTAGCTAAACATAGGCAAAATTAACTTGTTTCAGAACATATATGTTCAATTATCTCAAAAACAGTTCGATTCTCGAAAAAAATTGAAGGACAAAAAAGCCTTCAAATTGAACGATCCACACAATTTGATCACAAGAAGATGCCAGAGGCGTACTACGAAAAAGTATGGGGGGGATAAAGAAGCCTCTACCTCCAAAACCGTGTTACCCTGTAGATTTTGAGAATCTTAAAATGGCTTGAAATGATGATATTCTGAATAGTATCGACCACACCAAATTTTAAAATGATATCTTGAAAAGTAAGCGAGATATTTCAATTGATAGAAAAAAATAATTAAACTTTGACCCCCTGTAGCTCCGCTACTGAACGAGATCGAACTGATGTGTATATGAACTTTTCTGCTTAAAATGATGAGATCTACCTCCCATTTCAGTTTGTGCTCTAAAACCTGAATCACCCTGTATAGGGTTGTCAAAAGTAACGGATTTTTGTTTCTGAATAATAACTTAATGGGCCGATTTCATTGATTTGGTATTGTTTGAGATATAATTGATCAAGGACCCCTTCATATTTTTTGTATAATATTTTCAGAAAACAAAATGATGAACATATCTACACTTGGTCAAACTTTGAAAGTGTTTTGAATCACACTGTATTTTTTTGCATGAGATGCTGAGAGCTTGAACAAAGATGCAAAAAAAACATTTGAAAATTATTTATATGTGAAATCATAACTGATTTCATCCTCAGCTTTCAGAATCTCATATGTTAAAAAATACAGAGCGACTCAAAGAAGTTCTAGTGATTTTCAAAGTTTGACTAAGTTTAGGTGTCAGCCATTTTGTTTTTTGAACAAATATAGAAAATATTAAACAGAATGTCTGTTTTGATAAATTTTTCACCAAAATCAATGGACATTGAGCTTAATTGAGAAAGTTGTTATTAGGAAACAACATTCTTGTTTTTTTTGTGGACAATCTTTAGTGTATAAAAAACATTGGAATAGTAGCTGATGAATCAAAAAATTTCCTTCTTTACTTTGGCTAAAAGTTTTAACATCTCAAAATATCAAAAGTAAAGCTCTGGTGACACTCAAATACAAAAAATATACCCGGAGAATCTATAAAAATGATTCAGTATTCTCACTTCAATGAACATGGCATCATTAGAGGTCCAAGGGGTCCAACAATTTGTTATTTGAAATTGAACCATGATCTCGATTTTTTTCAACTATTCAAAACATTATGTGGAATAAGAAAATGAATTGGAATTAGTACCTATCAATATATCTTGCGAGAAATCTGAAATAGGCGAGAAAATATTGAGGGCACATATATGAGAGTATGAAAAAACATGGTATTCAAGATAATGAGAGTTTGAAGAAGAATTGAAGACTGAAAACCTAGCAGATAGAAAACAGGTTGTCAAGATATTTTATTGAATCAAGTGTTCCTGATGGTATGTCATTCCCCCCCTAATTATTTTTTGTATGAAAATAGAACAATGAGCTAGTGAATATTTTATTTCTAATAGAACCATCACTAGATTACCTTTCAATTCCATATTTTTTTATTTTTTCAGCCCAGATGCAGGAATCATTAATTTTGTCTTGATAATTTTCGAAGGGCTAGATATTTACAACAAATAAAAAGTGACGTCACGATTTCGTATGTAGGGGCAGACCATAGCACAGTTTCCATATGTTGAATTTCAGAAATATTATTTTTTTGATAATTTTATTCATGAATTTTTAATTATATTATTATATAAGTAATATTCTAAATTAGATATAAAATATTCATTGTCTCAAAATGTGCTTTTCCAGCCATTTCTAGAAAAAATATATTTTGAAATACAGTGTGACCCATTTGAGAGCGGGCGCCAACCTCATAATTTTTTTTATTTATGGAGCGACTTTCACGAATTTTTTTTTTTTTCGAAATTTTGAGGGAGGAAAGGTGTATTTTGGAGCTCAGCTGAGTCCATTTTTATTGAAAACCAAGGCATACTAGATCACATCAAGAATCCATATTAGCGATTTTTTTAGAAATAATCCGCGTACGCCACTGGAATCGGTGTCATTTGAAATAGTTTCATGAGAAAATATTCAACATTAACGATTCTACAGCATGCATTTTTACTCATCTTCAGACGCTTCGGAAACGAATCTGTTCCCGTTCTCAACATAAAAATACGAAATATTTTTCTTTGGAAGTTGTGCTCTGATTTGTCCCACTACAAATATATTGAAATAATACGCATACTTTCATTTTTACCCGAACTATCCATTTCTGAGAACTTTCTGAGAAAGGTCGATTTCACTTTTCAATTTGCGACATTTATAAGGGAAATGATATATACATGGTGATACACGTTATGACGTCCGTGACAATTTTTTAGAATGAAACAATATACAGGTTATGTCACGACGAGCTTGCACTATCTTTATATCGATAATCAGTTAGGACAATGCAGTGTTGCTGCTTTCACTAGAAAGTAGTAGCAACATTGATATTTCAAATGGAACACCCTGTATTTTATCGCATTTCTCTCTGAAGAGCTGATTCCATCGATGAATCACACTTGGGGTCTATCGAAAATGTGTTGTTCAAAATCGAGATTTTTCAACTTTAAGATTTTTTTGTGTCGAAACTATTCATTATCGGTCAAAACGGCTCACATGTCCCGATCTCAACTTTTGATTCACTATTTACTGATATTTAATCGGGACAGATACAGGGTGGTTCAAGACTCAGAATTCTGATCACCCTGTATCATTCTGTTGCCATTGTTATACAATTCTGAATTCGGCTATCCATGGAGATTCCAAACATTGAATAATATATAGGGTGTTCCATTAAAAAAAATGTCTCGGTTGTCATTACTCAAACATGGATCACCCTGTATATTTGATTTCATCTTATAAATGTGGTAAATTGAAAATAAAAGTCGACCTGTTTCAGGAGATTCCTCAGAAATGGATAGTTTGGCTGAGAATTAATTTATTCAGTACTTCAGGAAACCACTGTATTTGTGTCTTGCTTATGAGGAATTTGTCTTAATAATTATATTCACACTAGATAACATTTGGTCCGGTAAACGTGACAACACAGGGCTGTGGGCGTTCTCTTGTCAGTTCTCAGCATTCATCACAGCGTTGCCAAGTTTCTATAGCCAATATTTACATGATGTTTTGTCACAAATTAACATTAGGTCAAATGAAATATTTATTTATTTGGATGTGGTTTTATTCAACGATAGAACAACATTACAATAACTTGATTATAATTGATAATCTGACAATCTTGCTTTATGAGGGGTTATGAAAGATTATCTGACCAATAATGAAACGGCATAGAGAACATGGTCGAATGACGGCCATGACAGCACGTTTGAAATGAGCTTATTTTTTTTTGTTCACATCAAAAATGCGTAAGATGTGCTGCAAAAATTAACTCAGGTCTGTTTCATATCAGTAGAGTTCTTGAAAGCTGTCAAAGCGGCATGTTTACTTTGTTTTCATTGGTTCACATTTGTTTTTAGTTGGTGATTATTGGTCATATCAATCATATAATGAAAACAAACCGCTCAGAAGTGTTCAAGTTGCTGCCGTCAGGTGGGGCGACGTGTTATTTTCTATCGCGAAGTGCTTCAAATATTGCTAATTTCAATATAGTCATTCATGAACAAAAAAAAAAGTGAATACTTTTTTTTCATTATTTATACAGGGTGTTTCACAGGTAAAGGGAAATATGTCAATGGTAGATAGGGGTCACCAAGGTGGTTCTGAAAATACCATATTTGATAGGTCTTAGAGTTTTCATAACGGAGATACAGGGCGATTTATCGATTTCGAATAATTATTCATTCGTCTATAAGTATTGAACTACCCAGTATATTTTTCTAGAATTTGGTATGGAGGTTAAACTTGGGACGTTGAATGCATTCACCTATCGGGCGAAGTGAAAATCCAGGTTCGACTTCAGGAAAAATTTACATTTATTCGAAATATTAAAATAACACACTGTATGTAATAATTGACAGAGTTCATCAAAGGAATCGTGAAGAGGAGGAAAAACTGAACTGGATCTGATGCTTTTTGTTTTCCCGCCACCAATTCTCATCGTAACAATCATAAACAGAAAGCTAAAAGTATGTCAATTTCAAGAGTATTAAAATTATGGAACCACTTTCAATTATGATTATTTGATATATTCTCGTTAAATGATTGTTCGAAAGAACTTACTGTGTCTCACAGTCTAAATAACATAAGATACAGGGTGAATTATCACTCGTCCATAAGTATTAAACTACCCATCGCAGTAATATTTTCTCAAATTTGCTATTGAGCTTACTTGGGAAGATGGATTCATTGACCTATCAGGCAGAATGGAAATACAGGTTCAGCTTCAGGAAAAGTCTCATAGTCTTTATAACAGAGATACAGGATGAATTATCGAATTATAATTCCGCCTGATAGGTTAATGAATCCATCATCCCAAGTAAGCTACATACCATATTTGAGAAAATGTTACTGGGTAGTTTTATACTTATGGACGAGTGAATAATTATTCAAAACCGATAATTCACCCTGTATCTCCGTTATAAAAACTGTGAGACTAAGTAAGTTCTTTCGAGCGATTTTTTGACAAAAATATATCGAATAATCATAATTGACACTGGTTTCATAATTTCAATACTCTTCAAATTGACATACTTTCAGCTTTCTGTTTATGATTGTTACGATGAGAATTGGTGGCGGGAAAACAAAAAGCATCAAATCCAGTTCAGTTTTTCCTCCTCTTTACGATTCCTTTGATGAACTCTGTCAATTATTACATATAGTGTGTTATTTTAATATTTCGAATAAATGTGAATTTTTCCTGAAGCCGAACCTGGATTTTCTCTTCGCCCGATAGGTGAATGAATTCAACGTCCCAAGTTTAAGCTCCATACCAAATTTTAGAAAAATATACTGGGTAGTTCAATACTTATAGACGAATGAATAATTATTCGAAATCGATAAATCGCCCTGTATCTCCGTTATGAAAACTCTAAGACCTATCAAATATGGTATTTTCAGAACCACCTTGGTGACCCCTATCTACCATTGAAATATTTCCCTTTACCTGTGAAACACCCTGTATATAAAATGGCTATAAAAAATGTTTGAAGGATTTTCTTTCTGGTTTTAGGAGCTGGTATCGGAACAGTATTCGGTTCCCTCATCATCGGTTACGCCAGAAACCCCAGCCTGAAACAACAACTTTTCTCGTACGCCATCTTGGGTTTCGCCTTGTCCGAAGCCATGGGACTCTTCTGTCTCATGATGGCGTTCCTGTTGTTGTTCGCCTTCTAAGTCGAGGCGTTTTACGCCGATTATTCACCATTTATTCCACAGTCTGTTACGGCAACATCGCGTAACTTCATGTCATCTTTAAAGAATAACTTTAGGACTATTAATTTGTGTTCGCTCTGTATGAATATGTGACCGATCAGATTTACATCAGAGAATTTGGGCTTACTTTCACGAGGAATGATTGTCATGTATTTATCAGGAGTTTTCTCAAGTGTTTTCTAGGAAAATATGCAGTAAACACACATATTGTACATTGTTAGAAATTTTATTGTAAATCCTTTTTCCTTTTACTTTTTTTTTAATGTCCAACCAATATACAACCAGAGCTGTTATCAATTATTTATAAGGATAATAAATTGTTTTCATTTTATACTCATCTTTGATGTTAATTATAATCCAAAAATAGTTCAACTGAAATACAGTTTCCAAATTGAGTTTTTGGGTTTTGTTTATGAAGACCAAAATAAAGGAAACAAAGTTTTCTCACAAATGCTATAAACTTTTAATTTTCTGTTCAAATATGCGAATAAAAGTCGACAGTTTTTTCTTCGAACTTAATTCATAACTGAATTTATATCATAATGATTAAAATGACAAGAGGTTAGTAAAATAAAAATATACAAAAATGAAGAAAATAATTGAATAGCCATGAAAACACTACAATGCTGTTTTCAGCATGGTGCTAGATGCAACAGGAAAAAAAAGAGTAACCAGTTTAAAAAACAATGTGACAGTGATGAATAAAAAGGCAGTTTTGAAAAAACCGTGTATGATCTCCACAAATGGAATAATGGGATGGTGAAAAACAAGGTGAGTTCACTGAAGAGATGCTTGGGAAATGAAATTTTGGTGCAATGATTATCTGGATCAATTTCTGACTAATTGAAGACAGAAGCAAAAGATCATTCCATACGGACCAAGAAGAACGCCAAATTTACTTTCTAATCTGGAGACTTTGTACAGTGTGCCCAGATTTTGATGCTTTTGCGCGATATTGCAGTTTTCACATTACTGACCTACTTTCTTGTGGAACGAAAGTCGCAAACAAAATTTTCAAAGTCATTCATGTTTTTGAGACACAGGGCGAAGTAGAAAACTCTACCGTATCTTGGTAACTTTTTCAACTTAGCAGGCTGAAAACGGAACTTTATGTAACTTTAAATTTCTTTTTTCAAATGGAACACCCTGTATATTTCTATCCAGTTCGATTAAAATTTCTTATAGCCCATCAAAAATATGTAATTGACTTTTTTAATAAAAAAAAGTGCTCCATTTTCTGAAAAATATGAGCGATTACAAGAATAAAATGATTACGCCACTGTATTATAAGTTATATCGTGCCCCGTTCCCATCCTGCGATAAGATGAAAAGTAACCGGGGTTTGTTTTGGAGATAGGACACAAACTTTTTCTGATGGCCTAAGAAAGTGTTTGGGATCACACGTTGAAAGGTAAGGCCCCGTCATTCCTTGCTCGCACAAGACTTTCGAAGACTTCTGAGGGTTGCTGGTAAGGGGGCAACCGAATGACGGATAAAACAATTTTAGAACAAACAATCTATCAATGGAACATCCTGTATTTAATCATGAAAGTTTCGTCAAAATGATATAATACTTTATAATAAGTATAGGATCTCCAGAAATGTTGAAAAACACTAAAACAATAAACCATTATGGAATATTGCTAGTGGGCTGAACCTTTTTCATTTATATAAGTAAACAAAGTATAATGTGAAGATGCTTTTATTGCTGACCCAGCGAACGTTGTTTTACCATAAACATTATTTCTAGAAAATATTTTTTCGGTTAAATATTTCTCAACACACTTTCATTATTTTATTTTCTTTTTACTTAATGATGAAAAAAACTGCAGTTAGAAAAAGTGACAATTGATTTCGACTCCAAAAAGTTAGGTACATATTAATTTTTATCATAGAGTACATTTATTGATTGAATGGGTATGAAATGTTTTCCATGCACATTCACTATAGTAAATTGCCCTAAGAATTTCAGAGCAGTACCTTTCAAGGATTTCGAAATATTGAAGAACATCTGGAAATAAAATTGTGCTTCATCGCCCTCAACGGTGCATGTTCGTATAGAAGTAAGTTGATTTCAATCAGCCTATTTTGGTTTCTAGTTCACCCTGTAGAATTTATGCTACGTTGTTCTGGGACACCTTGTATAAATGAATATTTTTCAATTTTTGTGTTTTTTTTGTCTATCGCCTATTAAATTTTCCCGATTTCAATCTGAAACACCCTGTATAACTAGGAATCAAATTAAAATTGGAATATTTGAAACAATAAATTCTTATGAGAGAACATTACTTCAAGTAGTAAATCGCCGAAGTCAGAAAGATGTCGTGTCACTATAACTAGAACTAAAACATAAAGGGTGACTCCATGATTCAAATAAATAGTATGGACACTGTTTATTCTAGAAAATTGATCCAATATAACACCCACATAATTTCCTCCAGATACTTTGGTCACTTTGGTCTACCATGTACAATAAAATGTAGTCACAAATGTCACAATGAGGAAATGCAAAAGATTGCCCCCGCCCCTCCGCGTATACAAATATCTATATCCGAGTATCGATTTCAACATTATAGGCCAGTCATTGATAGACAAAAAATTAAATCATACGTTCTGAAACTTTGGGTGAACTCATACTCATTGTTACACTGAGAAAACAAAACAGTGAATCTCAAATCATTTCCTAAGCCTGGAAAATTTCTGTTGAATAGCAAGATTGAAATCATTGTGAATTGTGGTTGTAGATATCGATTGAAACGTTATAAAAGTACCACATCCTTTTTTTTATCCCGTGGAGCGCACGAAACGGAATCCCTATAATGTTCGAAGAACATCGTGCGTATCTATGGAGGATAGAAAAATGAGGATACCTACATTTTTTTGCGGCACTAGCACAACATTTCTTTTGTTTTAGGTACTGTTTTCGATAAATCAATAAAGTTATATACATTGAATATTGTCTTCAATTTCATTCCCTTAACTGATAATACTATGACATTATATCACAATGAATGTCATCTCCTGTAAAATGTCAAATTTCAAGCAATGACAGCTCTCTGTCTAATAGAAGAGCATTACTTAAGGGAAAATCAGATGGCTACAATTAAGCCCAAGAAATAAAAAATTTCGCTATTATCTGCTACAGCCGTAGAAGAAGTATAGTGCATAACTCGCACGGATTGCTAATTTCCCACTCGTTTGAATTAAACTTATTCTCGTGGCAAATGTTCCGTGCTCGTTACAATAGAAGCAGCAAAAAGTATATTCAACACGCTATACAGGGTGTTCCTGAGGTCGAAATAAGCCGATTTAAACAACTTAACCCAGTCCAAAATTACTACGTTTCCGAGATACAGAGGGTGGTGAAGATGAAATATATCATTTTTGTGGGTGGTTCCATGGCTGTTGGCGAGCAGTGTATATCACTGGAGACTAGTGGAGACTACTCCACTTAGTCATAGTGTGTATTTTCAATATATCTACCGCTCTTGCATATTTCAGAATCTAACCCATCAATTATGAAAGATACAGGGGTGCTTCCATTAGAAGTGAGACACTGTATAATGTTCATCTTGAGTCAATTCTGATCTTCATATCTCTTTATCTGAAGTTTAAGCTTCTAAATGAGCCTGAGATTTCAAAAATCGGTTGACGAGGAAAGTTATGACTGCAAAAGCAAAATGTTAATTTTTTGAGATCACTGTAAATGAGATCATTTGGGATACTTTTGAAATTTCCGAAATTTTGCACAGTTTCAGGTAACACCCTGTAGCGATTTTATGTTTCAAAGAATTACGAGATTATAGCTGAAGGACTGGGCTAGCGAACAGTGTGATCCGATTTCAAATCGTTCAAAGCAGAAAAAAGTTATTCATATTTCAACAGAGGCGAAATTTTGGGGTGCGACGAAATTAGTTTTGCTTAGTTTGAATGATCCTATGTATAAAACTATTCTGTCTTATTTGCCATTTTGTAGCATTATTATAAAATCTTGTTTATTGAAAATCTTTTTTTTATGAATGATATGGACAAAAACGCTCGTAGGAAAAACATTGTATCTAACTCTTGCATAAAAGTACTACTTTCCGCACTTGTTAGGTAAATTTTTTTTATGTTCTGGTTCCCACGGAAAGGGATATCCTGTAATGTTCAGAGAACATCGTGAGAACCAAAGGAAATAAGGTAAGAATTGGTGTTCTTCTTAAATTTCTGGAGGTTATATGCCTCGGGGAACACCTCCCTTGCAGGGGCGTATTTCAATATTCAGCGCCCCGGGCCTGTAGGGTTTGCCGCCCCATAAATCAACGGAAAATGAGCAAAACATTAAATCATGAAATGAAAGCCAGCAGTATATTGGGTTGAGAATGATAATAATGAATGGAAAAATTAAGAAGGCCAAAGAAAGAAATAAACACTATTTATTCGATATTTACATTTTCTTTCGATGGACAGATTGGTTAACAAATTCGTCAATAACACTGTCATAATTAATGGAATTTGTCAGTTCAGCTGCTATATTGAGAATAGCTAAACTATTCAAACGTTCTTCGCTTAAACGAGAACGTAAATAATTTTTTATTCTTTTAAGTACAGAAAATGACCGTTCTGCACTGCAATTGGTCACCGCAGTGCACAGAAATATTCGTAATGCTATTTCAATATATGGAAATGCTTCCTTCAAATCTTTTTGCTTAATAAATAAGCTGAGTTGCCTTAAACTCATTTTATTTTCATGAGACGTCAGGAATTGTTTTAAGAGAACACATTCTTCTTGTAAATCATCCGCCAGATCAATAGGGTAAACTTTTTGGAGTTTTATGGCATTTAATCTCACTTCTGAAGCAGACATTGTATCCAATTTGCATAAAAATGCAAAATTGGCGGTTACCGCCTCATACGAAGTTTTTCGCTTCCTTAACTCGCCCAATAATCGGTCGCATATTGGAAAGAAGGTATTAACCCTGAAATGATCCCGTCCTTGAAACACCACTTCTCCCTCGCTACTCTCATCGTCTCGTTTCTTTCTCTTGACAATTCTATTGTGAATGTTCCGGTACTCTTCTGTGCATTTTCTTTTACCAGCCTTTTCAAAAGTATCAAAAGATTCCCGTTGTTCTTCTACAAAAGTAATGAGTGACTTGTGAAGCCTGGAAACTACTTCTACGTCTGTGTCGACACCTTGTAGTATTTTGGAAACTATACCAAATCGTTTTAATACAGATCCCCAAAATTCCGATAATATGGCAGTTTCTAGAGAATTTAGTTGAGCTAATAGCCCAGCCGCTTCATTTTTAACCAAGGCTTTGTGGTATGCAGAGTCACTTCTTATAGCTTCAAGAGCCGCTATTATCTGGCTCCAATCATTATTAAGGCTGGTACCGCTCGCAATAAATGACAAATGCTTTGCGCACCCAGAATTTGTTGACTTTGTTTCCCAGGAGTGCATGTGAGTGAGAGGTAAAATTGGAACATCGACATCAAAGGTTCCGACACGGAGTAATCTAACTGTGTGCCGCCGACGCTAATTTCTTCGGAGGAATAAAGTAAAGAAAAAACCTAAGCGTGGTGCGGCTTGCGCCGCCCCTCGCAGCCTGCCGCCCCGGGCCATGGCCCTTTTGGCCCTTAGGTAAATACGCCCCTGCTCCCTTGGCAATGTGTTCCAGAGCCTCGTAGTTCGTTGAATGAACGCGTTTTTGGAAAGAGATGTTCTGCAAGTCTCCAAAGTGACCACGAAGGGGTGCGAAGCCTCAACTCGACGGGTTAATCTCGCGGGGACTGCCAAGGGAGGAACAATTGTTGATATTTCAGAAGAGCATCGTCCATGAAAATATCTATAAAATAGAGCCAGATCGCCAACTTTTCTACGATGTTTCAGAGTGAGTTTGTGAGCGAGACATCACCCACGAGACGAATTGCCCTTTTTGGCTAGAATCCAACAGTTTCAGGGTATGTTTGGGTGCTACACTTCAAATATGGAAACAGTATTCCAGGACAGATCGGATCTGTGCCTTATAGATCATAATAAGCAGCTGACTGGAAGTGAAATATGTCCTGGCCCGAAACAGAAAACCAAGTTTTTGGGATGCACTTTTAGCAATTGATATCACGTGATTTTCCCAAGAAAGTTTATTGCTGATAGTAATACCAAGCATCGAAATGGATGTCTTCAAAGGTATGGTTACTCCTGACAAGCTTTATGTTGGGCACAGTGGGATCGGCTTTTTTAAAGAAAAGGCATGCTTGTGTTTTGTTTCCATTGAAATCTACCAAGTTATTGGATCCCCATTCGAGAATTGTTGCCAAGTCCATATTTATGTTGTCAACATTTCTCCCTCGTTCGTTTCTGATTTGCCTGGCTGGTATTGGACCTCTGGAAGAGAAGGCGGCATGGAGGGTACAATCATCTGCGAAGCTGTGTACTGGACATGAAGTTGCTTCCAACAAATCGTTGATATGGAGTAGAAATAGTGTTGGAGCTAGAATTGATCCTTGCGGAACACCAGCATTTATGATAAGAGAATCAGATGAAACTCCGTCGACCACTACATGGAGAGACCTGTTTGAGAGTAAACTAGCTAGCAGAGAACATAGCTGGGGAGGCAAGCCATAAGATGGAAGCTTGGCGATATAATAACGTTTCCTGAAAATGACTGGGCTATTAATAGAATTTTCGCAAAGGAAATCTTCGCTATGATGGACCACACACGGAAGATTCAATTGTGCAAAATCGAATCGGATGCTGCGCGCAGTCGCAGTGCCGAAGCGAATGCAATACAACAACCCTCTCACACGTCTAGGAATGCGGAGATTTTCCACTTTTCAATCAGCGCGCCGTTTCCACCCTAGTTGTTTGTGCATCGCGAGAAAAGACACGGAAAAACGAGCTCGTATCTAGTGCCTTTCGCCAACATCCAGTAAATGTCTGGACGTGCCGTGAATTTTCAACATGAAAGCTGATGAGAAATGGTTGATCGCTGTTTTCGCTGTTTTTGTTCTGTTCCAAGGTAAGTGTTGGTAAATATATGTACGCACATGGCATTTTGATTTTTAATCAAACCTACACCAAAGATTTAAGGGCGTGTTCTGTTTTTGTAGTAATTTTTCTCGAAACGGTATATTCCCGAAATGTTTCGACCCGTAAGGGTCTTCTTCAGACTAGACTTTAGAGAATTGATCCAGAAAAACTCATTTTCTCCTTTCATCTTATTCTTGGCACCATTCAGCATCCTGGTAGAAATATATTTTTTTACCAGGAACTTATAACTTATGAATTGAATTCGACGTAATCTGAAGTTGAATGAAAATGTCATTTAACCTATAAAATTTGAAAAATGTCCAGTTTAATTTCATATTCCTTTCCCCTGGGTGAAAAAAATGTCCAGAAATTTGTTTAGTTGCTATGTTAACGATACAAAATACAAGCTTTTAATTATTAATTGGTCGAAAATGTTGATGTGAAATTTTCAATGAAATTATGCGATTAACCTAATTGACGAAAGCTGAATCCAATGGTGGAGTCAAATTTCCTTGAGAGAAATCAGTAATGATATATATTTTTTTTTATTAAAAAATCAGTATGTACCTATACCCTGAATAATGAAATTGAACTTTGCAAACTTGTGTGAACGTAGGCTTTCTGATACTCTTTTTGCTCAAACAATAAAAAAATAATCGGTTGGAAACTGTAGAGATTTCATCTAGTGTTCCGGTTCAAGTGGGTGACACTGTATATATGAAGGGCGAATTATCACTATTTCACTAAAATAGAAGCAATTCCTTCTTCAAATATCGATGAATCTGAATGATGACTCAGGAAACAGTCATCTACTGTAGGTATTTTCATCTTAAGAAATATAACCCATATTATTGCTATTATTGGTAGTTGTTGCCACGCTTAAGCTTTGTATGTACAGGGTGTTAACACTAATATTGTCAAAACAATTAACCAATATAACAGTACCGACAAAATACAAAATGGGTTATCAGAAATTAAAACGAAACAAATTAAAAAAATAAAACCTTGTACCTTCAAAATACCGACCGAAAACTATGCAGAGAACTGCACAAATAACGGTCAGTGCTGTAACTTCTGAATCAATCAATTTGGTTTGTTGCAAGTATACCAAATTGCCAATTTCCATATTCCAGCTCTTCAGGGAGAATCTTAACTCGTTAAAATGCAAGAAAATACTGGGTTTTCCGTTTGAAATATCAAAATTGCTACTACTTTCTGGTATATGCGGCAACGCTGCATCACTCAAAATAACTACCTGAGTATCCAACTTTTCAAAATGATCCTATGTCCCGTAAACGTCGAAGGTACCATCGACCGTGACGACCAACCCAGTATAAGAGGGGTGCAAAAGGGGTACATTATTGGATTTGGGTCACCCTGTGTATATCATCTCTGGATTGTATTCTAATAAGACTGCGTAGAATTCTTGGAGATAATAATTCATCCTGGTCTGCAACAGAGTTGACCCATTTTCTTCAGAATTTATTGGCGTCCAGCCATGCTGGAATGATGAATATGGATTCGCCATCGCATATATTGTTCATACATTTTTTCATTTCAATGTTTTGCGTTCGAAGAAGGTAATTTTTATCTCTGTTGACAGGTTACAAAAGGTCACTTTTCATAAATTACTTTTCTCAAACGAGAAAAAAGTCAGTACTTTTTTCCTGGATATACAGGGTGATTCACGGTGGATGGAACATCAGACGTTTCTGGAGAACGTAACTCTGAAAAGTTGGTACCTTCGATAATTACCTAGTTGTTTTCTATCGACCTAAAATATTGTCAGCGTTGCGAAGTTGCTGCTTATATTGAAGTAGCAACAACTTCGATTTTTTCAATGGAAGAACTGATTCCATCGATCTATCACACTTGGGGTCTAGCGGGAATGATAACAAAGATTAAGAATTTTTTGTGTCGAAACTATTCATAATTGGTCAAAACGGTTTTCATGTCCCTGCCTTTACTTTTCATGTACTATCAATTGATATTTAATATTGAAATAAATACAGGGTGGTACAGAATTTAGATGTTTGGCATAGATACAGGGTGGTCAATGAAAATCCGGAATTCTATCCCTTTCACTCATAATAAGATATACTCACTTAGAATATAACAAATATCATAAGGTTTAAAGTAATTCTCCCCTATCTCCCCTACACAAGAAAAGAGGAATGAGCACGTGTTGTTAATCAACGAGACCCGCCTAACATAAAATCACCTCGTTATTTATGTTGTATTTTTCATGTTTCTCATATCTATTTGTTGGGCTATACCTTATTAAAGTATCATAACAATAGAGTTAGCAATAACAATAACTCTTCGATGAAAGGGATATAGGTATACCTATATCCGTTTCATCAGAAGGTATAACACTGAAACATAAAAACTCCAATAATTTTCAGACTGCCTTAGCTTGAAAGAAGTTAGGATCCAAGTTCCTACTGCCGTTTTATTGGGACATCAAGCTGTGCTCAAATGTTTTTTCGATTCAGAAGGTGACAAACTATATTCTGTCAAGTGGTACCATAATGCAGCAGAATTCTTTAGGTGAGATCAAACTATATAGTTCTAATACCTAGTAATATGATTGTGCATTACCCATTGATATTACTCAATGATAATAAGAATCATTCTGAAATTGAGACTTTGTCACAGACACCAACCACTGACTGAATTTTGCTTTCATGAATTATACAGAAGCAAACACATCTGCTACATGACATAGCTGAGATCTCGCGATGAAGCAACACTGCGATATCACGAATGTTCAATCTCTGCGATGTACAGAAGCAAGAACGTCTGCAACATGATATATCTCTAAGCTGTCTTGATGAGGCAAAAATGCGATATCACAAGAGTAAACTCATATGCGAGAATTTTTCAAAAATGTTTTAATAAATTGTTGTTCGGTGAAAACAATACATGAATATACGTTACTCAACAATGTGAAGCTAAATTCGCAAACATTCGTTACATTGCTGTCAAACTATTCTTGGTTTGCTTACATCTCGCCGACACACACTACAGAATTTTTGATACAAATACGAGTAACTGATCTGATTCTGATAGGTATCTAGTATACCTACCGAGGATAGCAGACGATTAAATGGACAGCAGACCCGAGGGACCACCAACCAGTCCCAACAACACATCAATGTTAGCTGTCATCTAAAGTCAGTGTCGTGGACCTTTTTTCGTTTTACTGCGTATCATCTCGCATCACATCGTAGTTTCACCGCAAACACATCGCTTTTTCATTACAAATAACATATCGTAATAAAATTACAAAAAATATATTGCTGTTATATCGCAGCGACGTCGCATGGATGAAACTTGATAGGACAAAATAGCATTCCTGTGACATCGCAGCGACGTCTATGCGACATAGAATGCGATATCGCAAGTCACAATTGTTACATCGCTGCGATATCTCTGTGATGTAACTGTGTTAGCTGGGAATATACTTCTTTAATACAAATGAAAAATATACGAAATTCGATTCGTCTGTATTGATTTCCTGAGATATTTTTTTCGCTGTGGGACACACACTGTATAAATCTGATTCGACTTTTCCAGGTACAACCCCAGTATAAAGAACCCCATCAGGCAATTCAAATTGAAAGGTTTCTACGTCGACGAAACAGAGTCTGATGCTACCCAAGTAGTGCTGAAACACGTGACCAAAGCGATGAGCGGAAAATTCAGTTGCGAAGTGACAGCTGACCAACCTAGTTTTTTCACGGACATGAAGACTGCTCAGTTGGAGGTGAATGATGCGAATGGAACTAAACAAACGAAAAATTTTAAAAATCTCAAGTTTTGTCCTCGCTTCTGATTTTTTTGGAATTTTTCTCGTTTTTTCACATAAAAATATCAGTATTATCTCAAATCATCTGCCTCAAAATATGGAAAGAACCTATACAGTGTTTCCCAGAAAGTGAAGTCTAAATTTATTCGAAATTGAGTGATTAGTTTTTTGAAAAAAACACTCAGACCCGTCAATTTTCATTTTTTGATGTAGTTGCGGCAATTGAAAATTGGGTTGGATTCGTCATTACAGGTGGAGCAGATATAAAAGGTAGATAATTTAAATAAACAAACACAAATAACTTACAACTAAACAGTTATACATCTAAAATACATTAAAAAATTACATGTTATACATTTGTAGATATTCTCCTATAGAATAAAAACATTTTTTCACTAGGGAATCCATTAATGATCTTTTGAAACTGAAAAATGTATCATTTCCTGTCATTTCATCGGGTAATAAATTATAAATTCGGGGAGCCATTTGCTATAGGAGAATCATAACGAATTTTCGTATTACTAAACGGAATATAAAAGAGATCTTTTTGGCGTGTATTGTATTCGTATCTTGAATTATTCATCTGGAAGATATTTCGATGATTATACACATAAAGATAGAATTCAAGAATTAATAACGATGGTAGTCAGGATTTTCAAGGGATTTTAAAGGGGTCCCTACAAGAGGAGCGTTTTGATATTCCTACGAGTGTGTGTATATTACGTTTCTGTGCAATAAAAACATCTGATGATGCGGTAGATAGGCCTCAGAAGCGTACTCCGTATCTTATACTGGACTCTATTTGGTCATAATATAATTTCAGGAGTTGGTCACAGTTTAAGTAATGGTTTGAGATTCCTGAACTGATATGAGTAAAGAATTCAATTTGGATTGTAGTATTCGGCAATGATTATTCCATGTAGCTAGGACACGCATCCACGACCAGCCCTAAGAACTTGACTTCTTGAATAATGTTTACACAGTGATTATCTGTAGATATGTTCACATCGATACAGGTTTTCTGACGATTATGGAATCTCATTGATTTTGTTTTATCCATGTTCAAACTCAGGAAGTTTGCACTGAACCAATATTTCACAATCGAAAATGTCTCATTGAATTTATGTGATAGTAGACTGTCTGATTTATCTGATGAGATGATCAGCGACGTATCATCCGCATACATAGTGAGAGAAGAATGGACTGATATGTCATCCAAATCATTCAAGTATAATACAAAAAGGACAGGCCCCAAAACTGAGCCATGAGGTACTCCAATTGTAACTGCTCGTTTTGAAGAGATAGTATGGTCAATAGAGCCAATGGTGAAGATCACCGTCGAAGGCTCAAGTCGAATTTCGAAATAGAGTATCATTAAAAGTTTTTCCATATGAACTCAACAGTTATCGAGAATATTCACGACCATATTTATGCGAATTTTTGTTTATAAATTCATATGTTAAACGTACGCGAAAGAGTGCCAGGCCAAAAAAAATTGATGTATTTTCCTATTTTCACAGGTGATCGACCCTCCCAAATCAGACCCTTTCATATCTGGCGCCAAAGCTAGATACAAAGTGGGCGAATATCTGAAAGCCATTTGCACTGTAGACAAATCGGACCCAGCGGTAAATTTGACGTGGCACGTCAATGGAAGAATTATGGACGTCCCGCAGGTTCATAGATATAAAAAAGTTATCGAAGGCGATTACACTAGGTGAGTTGTCGGTTATAATTGCACAAGTGCAAAAGAATAATGAATAATTTTGCAAGATAGCTTGTTATACAGGGTGTCCGCTAAAAGGAGGTCAATCCATTAACCACATATTCCTTGAACAAAAACAATGTGAGTTTCTAAATACCATTTTTCATTTTAGCCCTTCATATTCGATATACAGGGTGTCAAAGTTGGAAATTAAAAACTGTTTTTTTTTCTAATTACTCGCGTATTTGATAAGATATTAATCTCAAAATTGGTACATTACTTCAGCACAAAGAGAAAATAACTGTCAAATATTCAAAATACTGGGGGTCAAGTACACACTTACCCCCATATTCTTTTTGCACGTGCGCGAATGACTTCTATCAATCTATTTTCCTTCAAGTGTTCAATCATTTTTGAGTATCTTTTGTTTCTTGTAAAATTTCGGTTAAATCATTTGTTTTCAAGATAATTCGAAAAGTACTGGTTATTGTTTGATGCCTATGCGGCTTACGGTAATCTCATAATGTTCACATACTCCTATTTATTTCGTCGAAATTGGAAGAGGGCGTATCTTTTTACGTACGAAAAGGTAAATATGGAAATACCGGGTGCTCAGAGCAAATTAATGTACTAAAATAATTGAAAAAAAAAAGTGTGAAAATTATTTTAATACATTCGCTCTGAGCACCCAGTATTTCCATATTTACCTTTCCGTACGTACCGTAAGCCGCGAGGCATCAAACAATATCCAGTACCTACTTTTCGAATTATCAAATAATTTTATCGGAATTTTACATGAATCAAAAAATACTCAAAAATGATTGAACACTTGAAGAAAAATAGATAGGAAGTCATTAGCGCACGTACAAAAAAAATATGGGGGTAAGTGTGTACTTGACCCCCAGTATTTTGAATATTTGACAGTTATTTTCTGTTTTGTTTTCCTCACACGATGTAACTCTTTGTGATGAAGTAATGTACCAATTTTGAGATTAATATCTTATTAATTACGCGAGTAATTAGAAAAAAACAGTTTTTAATTTCCAACTTTGACACCCTGTATATCGAATAAGAAGGGCTAAAATGAAAAATGGTATTCAGAAACTCATATTATTTTTGTTCAAGGAATATATGGTTAATGGATTGACCTCCTTTTAGCGGACACCCTGTATAAAAATTGCAAGAGTTTATTTTCATATTTTGGCAGAAGAGCCCGAGTCCGAAATTATTGAATTAATTGTAAAATGAAACACTATCTCACTATTCCGAGGCAAACAATCTATTACACTGCCATCAATTCGGTTTTCCCTGAAAAATCGTTTTTCTATTTATTACTCAATTGTCTTTCCATCAAATTCAATAAAACGTTGTGGTTTTGTTAATAGTGATATGGAGCTTTTTCTGGTGCAATTAGATTCGATATAATATTTCCAGTGGCGTCACAGTGGGTAAATTTATCGATATTTATGGTGAATGTCATTGTACGCCACCGGCTTTTCTGAGTTTGTAGATTGTAGATGGGTCGTATATAGGCTGGGAGACCTCTCGATCACTGCGACCTGGAAGATCTATTGTGATTACCCCTCTCTAGTTTTGGTCCTCTAACCCTAGACTTCTGATGAAGCCAACAAATTTTCCTGACAGTTGAATTTTACACCTCAGCAGGGGTGAGATATAGACCTGTTCTAGATGGTTCAGCCTTTGGCGGACTAATACTTCACATGAGCAAAGTATGTGTTCTGCGGTTTCGGTCGCATTGTTACAAAAGCGGCAAGTGTCAGTCTCCGCCAGACCCATCTTTTTGAGGTGGTACCTCAGAGGGCCGTGTCCTGTGAGAAAGCCTGTGATAAGCTTTAGCTCTGGTTTGCTGAGGCTGAGTAGCTCTTTGGCTCGGTTCTGCGAATGGTTGATAAACCTTTTCGCTTGTCGTTGACCTGGAGTTGCTCTCCAGTAGGAGGACTTTTCAATTTCTTCCCCATATCCATACTGGATTTAGAATAACGTTATTTATTTCCCGAGTTACTCTCAACGAGCAGTTTCATTTGATACCCATATTGTAAAAGTAGATTAAAAATAAATATTCCGCCATCTTGGACGGCCTGCCATATTGGATTCAAAATGACGTCACATTATTTTCCGAGTTGCTCTCAACGAGCCCTTTCATTTGATACCCATATTGTAGAAGTGCATTAAAAATAACTATTCCGCCATCTTGGATGGTCCGCCATATTAGATTCAGAATATGTTATTCACACACCTCATCGTGCATTGTCATCCAAACTAAACGTGTATACAAAATTTCAGCTCAATCGGTTGAAGATATCTACTTCAAAATTGAGTTTAAAGATTCCATCCGAACTAACATCAGTGTGTCCCACTTACCATGCTCACCATGGGTATCTTTTTAACGGTGAGAGATACGAGGTCGGTTAAATGACACCAAATGTGGAGTTTGTCAAGGCCAACAATAATGTGAAAAAATATTTTTATAAAATCTATTCGTTTTTGTTTTATACGCAAAAAACAGATTTTGATCATTTTCATGTCTCCTTAACTTCTTTATTTATGAAAATATTCAAATAGGAATTTCACATTCTCATGGCAGTTTTTTAGAGTGATTTCGAAAAAAATATGAAATTTATACCAACTCTTCTAGAATTTGAGATATCAGCACCAACTTTAGTTTTCCAAATGTAGGTCATAGCTCACTATGACTTAGTTACAAATAACTTTCTTTCAGATGATATGTCGCAGTAATAGTTTTGTGTTGATACCAACGGAGTTATCGTCATTTATACAAAAACAAAAAATTATTTGGAAGGCGCCATCTTGAATTTATAAATTTTTACAAAAAAATCATGATCTCCGACCTCAAAAACCCTCACTTACCAATTTTGAATGGAATCGGACCAAATCTTGTCCGCCATCTTGGAGCAGCCATTTTTTAATTTCAACAAAAATTCGATAACTCCGATTAACTTGAAATTTGGCAGGTGTTCATGATTTCGGTGACAATACATTATGGATTTTTTGTTGAAATTAAAAAAAATGGCTGCTCCAAGATGGCGGACAAGATTTGGTCCGATTCCATTCAAAATTGGTAAGTGGGGGTTTTTGGGGTCGGAGATCATGATTTTTGTGTAAAAATTTATAAATTCAAGAGGGTGGCTTCCAAATAATTTTTTGTTTTTGTATAAATGACGATAACTCCGTTGGTATCAACACAAAACTATTACTGCTACATATCATCTGAAAGAGAAAAAAAAGTTATTTGCAACTGAGTCATAGTGAGCTATGACCTGCATTTGAAAAACTAAAGTTGGTGCTGATATCTCAAATTCTAGAAGAGTTGGTATAAATTTCATTTTTTTTTCGAAATCACTCTAAAGAACTGCCATGACAATGTGAAATTTCTATTTGAATATTTTCATAAATAAAGAAGTTACGAAGGATACATGAAAATGATCAAAATCTGTTTTTTGTCAAACAAAAACGAATAGATTTTATCAAAATATTTTTTCACTTTATAGTTGGCCTTGACAAACTCCACATTTGGTGTCATTTAACCGACCTCGTATCTCTCACCGTTAAAAAGATACCCATGGTGAGCATGGTAAGTGGGACACACTGTATACATCCATACATTGCAAGTTGAATAACAGCTTTTGATTTAATAAGCTTCTGTAATCTTGATACTGAGTTTTGAAACACCCCGTATAATATTCCTTCGTTTTCAGTTCGTATTCTACACTCCGCTTCAAGATAACCGAACCCCTATTCGATAGCGGCAAGCTCAAGATCAGATGCTCAGCAGACCTGTTCGGCGTGTGGCACAGGAGCTCAGAAAAAACCATCGAGCTGAAGCTCGACGATCGAGAGGATTCGAATACTGCGCCTGCGTGGTTGGCAAGCACCACCAGTACGGAATACTCGCACGAAATTTATTGGATGCAAGTCGCGAGAAATGCCCCAGAATCGACACGTTAGTATCAATTTCGTGATCCCATACTGTTATTTTGATTTAACGGCATTCAGATGACATTCATTATTCCAATTTTTTTGGGATGTTCTCTCCTCGTTTCTATAAAATAAAAATATGAATATTATTTCAATATACGTGTAGTAAGGACAAATCAGATGATTTGCCCCAAAATGTCACTGCGTTTAAAGAATTTTCCTATCAGAGAAGCTAAAAGAAAAATTCACTAGCTTGTCAGTGACAATTTGTATTGAAAAATTTTTGGATAAGAGAAATAAAGGTATATAGAAAAAATATCAAATTTTCACTTATCTTTGGACCTTTCGGGACCGATTCTGCTCCCGTTTTCAAACGAGGAGAGAAAATCACAAAAAAATTGGAATAATGAATGTACCACCTCCTCGATTAACCTACAGACAGTATTCAGATGACAATTGAAAAGTTAATATTAACAGCCTCCGTCCGTTAATATATACAGGGTGAGTCATGACTAACCAGCCATAGCCTAATGGCGGATAGAGGAAGTCAAGGTGAGTTTATATACAGTGTGTCCCATTTACCATGCTCATCATGGGTATCTTTTTAACGGTGAGAGATACGAGGTCGGTTAAATGACACCAAATGTTGAGTTTGTCAAGGCCAACTATAATGTGAAAAAATATTCTGAAAAAATCTATTCGTTTTTGTTTTATACGCAAAAAACAGCTTTTGATCAATTTCATGTCTCCTCCGTAACTTCTTCATTTATGAAAATATTCAAATAGGAATTTCACATTCTCATGGCAGTTTTCCAGAATGATTTCGAAAATAATATGAAATTTATACCAACTCTTCTAGAATTTGAGAAATCAGCACCAACTTTAGTTTTTCAAATGTAGGTCATAGCTCACTATGACTTAGTTACAAATAACATCTTTTTCTCTTACAGATGATGTGTCGCAGTAATAGTTTTGTGTTGATAACAACGGAGTTATCGTCATTTATACAAAAACAAAACATTATTTCAAAGCCGCCATCTTGAATTTATAAATGTTAACAAAAAAATCATGATCTCCGACCTCAAAAACCCCTACTTACCAATTTTGAATGGAATCGGACCAAATCTTGTCCGCCATCTTGAATCAGCCATTTTTTTTTTAATTTCAACAAAAATTTCATAATGAATTTTCACCGAAATTATGAACACCAGCCAAATTTCCAGTCAATCGGAGTTATGGAATTTTCGCTGAAATTAAAAAAAATGGCTGCTCCAAGATGGCGGACAAGATTTGGTCCGATTCCATTCAAAATTGGTAAGTGGGGGTTTCTGAGGTCGGAGATCATGATTTTTTTGTTGAAATTTATAAATTCGAGATAGCGGCTTTGAAATAATTTTTTGTTTTTGTATAAATGACGATAACTCCGTTGTTATCAACACAAAACTATTACTGCGACACATCATCTGTAAGAGAAAAAGATGTTATTTGTAACTAAGTCATAGTGAGCTATGACCTACATTTGAAAAACTAAAGTTGGTGCTGATATCTCAAATTCTAGAAGAGTTGGTATAAATTTCATATTTTTTTCGAAATCATTTTGAAAAACTGCCATGAGAATGTGAAATTCCTATTTGATTATTTTCATAAATAAAGAAGTTATGGAGGAGACATGAAAATGATCAAAATCTGTTTTTTGCGTATAAAACAAAAACAAATAGATTTTATCAAAATATTTTTTCACATTATAGTTGGCCTTGACAAACCCCACATTTGGTGTCATTCAACCGACCTCGTATCTCTCATCGTTAAAAAGATACCCATGGTGAGCATGGTAAGTGGGACACACTGTATATGTGAAAAAATAAATCCTGGCTATTCGTAACAGAAATACAGGGCATTATTTGAATTCGGGGCGAATCTTTGATCGATGAACGATATTTCACGAACGTCTCGATGTTATCGTCTAAAAATGACCAGCAACGACGGACTTGGGAAATTCATTTTCTTTATAAATGTCATAATTTTGACTTCCTGGATCGTATTTTTCAAAAACTCTTATCAGAATCAGAAAGATCAGGAAAAACACAACAAGTGCAGCTTTTCAATTTGTACGGCACACTTCGGCCGATTGGGTAAAAAAAATCAAACAAAATACTGATGAATATTTCTTCGATTTCGTCCCGGCACATTACTCTCTACATTCGACTTGAGGTATTGAAATCATTTTTTTGCGTATTGATACCAGCAAAGTTGATAATATTTTTTTCCTTAAAATAATTCTGGACCAGCAAAGTTGATAATGTTTTCTTCGTTAAAAAAATTCAGGACCGGACTTGATTTTTCAAAAAAAACTACAACTCATAACTTTCGAAAAAGCTCTGTCTATACCTTAACAATCTTCAACGAAGATTCTCGAAATGTTCTTCTCCAATTTCTTCACATTTTCTGCATCTCTTCAGGAGATCTCATGGTTTTTAGAATAATTTGCTTATTATTTTTGATCATATCTGAATCTGTAACTATCTTCTCCCTCAGTTCCTCTCTAGTGTTGACTTCAGTCAGATATACCAATCGTTCCATATGTCTCCATAGATAATATAGTCTAATACTGTTAGAAGACCTAGAAGGACAAGGAATGAGGACCGCCAGGACCTATCCAGCGATTAAAGAATTAGGTGTCTAGGTATTCTCTAACTTGTATTGAGTAATGTTTAGGTGCCCCATCCTGTTGAAATGGAATACCTCTTTCAATCCATTTGCTTACATCCATCACAGCCTTCTTTTTTAGTGCTTTCTGAATCGTGAAAACATCAAACTCACAATTTAATTCGCTGATTGAGAGAGTTCACATGCAATGAGGTCATATTCAATAGTTCTTCGAACGTTTCTCTATGTAATATGAGTAGGCACGTATATCTGATTCGCATAGAAATCTTTCACCTAAGCGATAATTCCTTATATTGAGTACAGGGTGGCCAAATAAGAATCCAGAGTTCGATACCTCTGTTGTCTTGAGAGATACAAAAAAAAGTTTTGCATTCAAATTAAAGTGATAACCGAGCTTCACATTTCAAAATTTCTTTGAAATACACAGGGTGTTCCGTAAGGTCACAGCACATCAAAGCTATGTTTTTTTCAATGGAACACCCTATATTTCATTTCATTTTTGAATTCTCCCTGAAGATCTGATTTCAACGACGTATCATACTTAGGGTCTAGCAGTGAAAGTTACTGACATATAGGGTGTGCAAAATCGAGATTTTCCAAGTTCAGGATTTTTTTCTGTCGAAACTGTTCATTATTCGTCAAAACGGTTTACATGTCCCTATCTCAACTTTTCACTCACTATCAATTGGTGTTCAATTGACATTTAATTGAAACAAATTATAAATTCAGATTTTTGACCACCTTGTATCTATTTCAATTGAACACCAATTGATAGTGAGCGAAAAGTTGAGATAGGGACATGTAAATCGTTTTGACGAATAATGAACAGTTTCGACAGAAAAAAATCCTGAACTTGGAAAATCTCGATTTTGCACACCCTATATGTCAGTAACTTTCACTGCTAGACCCTAAGTATGATACGTCGTTGAAATCAGATCTTCAGGGAGAATTCAAAAATGAAATAAAATATAGGGTGTTCCGATGAAAAAAACATAGCTTTGATGTGCACCCTACAGACCTTACGGAACACCCTGTGTATTGTGTATTTCAAAGAAATTTTGAAATGTGAAGCTCGGTTATTTCTTTAATTTTGATTCATGAATTTTTTTTGTATCTCTCAAGACAACAGAGAAATCGAACTCTGGAGTCTTAGTTGGCCATCCTGTACAATGTTTCCACGTTTCCACATGTAGAAGCAGATTTCAATTGGAAATTATTTATGTTCATATTTCAAATGTCTTTTCCAGAATATCAAGTCCGGTCCTGTTTTTTTTTATCGAATAGAGCCCCTTCCCAACTCTTATAATACACTGATATGCAAGAAATTGATTTAATAAATGATTCGTTGACCGATTTGACTAAAATATGCCCTTTTGTTCGATATTTTTTCAACGATTTGGAATAAGTGTGCCGTGCAAAATGAAAAGCTACACTTGTAGGTAGTGTTTTTCCTGATCTTTTTGGTTCTGATGTAAGTTTTTGAAAAATGCGATTCAAAAAGTCGAAAGTTTGACATTCAAAACGAAAATGAGTTTTCCAAGTCCGGCTCTGGATTTTTTGTTCATAGTGGTGTGTCAGTAGAGGTAAGTTGCTGGTGAATTTCAGGCGATAACATCGAGACGTTCCTGAAATATCGTTCATCAAAGTTTCGCCCCGAATTCAAATAATGCCCTGTATTTCTATTAGGAATAGGGAGAATAAATTTTTTCCAATACAGTGCAGACTCGATAATCCGAACGTTCAATAATCCGAATTCTTCAGTAGTCCGAACAAGCATTTTTGATACATTGAGTACTCTATAATCCGACTTTCATAATACTCGATAATCCGAACCTATACCTTTAGGCCTATTTATTTCCTATAGAAATTGTGAGTGAAATGTTCAGGGATTCCCCTAATTGTTCTTTTGTTAGTATCTGGGATTCACATTACTCAAGGAAGAAAATAATATTCCGTTAAATGATATTTTTGTACTTCAAAGATTAAAAGAAATGGCCTTTATAAATAATCAAAGATGTGTTAAGCAAACAAAAATTACAAATTACATTTGAAACTAGTATTATATTCTTATTTTTATGCATATTTTAGTGATACTTTCGTATTCATGTTTTTTTTGCATTTCGTAATGAAAAATTTAAAAAAAAAAACTGCTCTGGTAATCCGAATTTTTTGGTAATCCGAATCGCCTTGGTTTTTATTAGTTCGGATTATCGAGTCTGCACTGTATATATAAACTCGCCTTTTGGTCCTTTTTCTGCCATTAGGCTATGGCTGGTTAGTCATGACTCACCCTGTATATATAATATAATAGAATAATCCCGTGGAACATTTCGAATATTCTCAGAATGCTCTCACAAGGTTCGCTGAACGTTCTGAGAATATTCAAAGGAGATGCAATGGGACGAAAATACCAAGAATGTTCCCATATTTTATAAATATGAGGAACATCCTCAGAACGATGGAAGAATTTTCTCATTATACAGGGTATATTGACGCGGATGGAGAATATTTCAGGGATCAATATAGGAGGAAAATAAGTTCATAACTGTATGTTCCGAAAGTGGCCATTAGGGTGATATTATTTATTTCACACAATACACACAAGGCCGCAGAATGGTTCTGTCCGATCAGTGACGTTGATGCTCCTTTTCGTGCCAGAATCTGCTTGTTCATTTCCCTCCACTCCAATGTGCCTCGGCAACCAGAAGAGGATTGATTACCTTGCCGTGTTGAGTTTCTCTAGGCATTTCCAAACCATCTTTGAGTTGATGTTGGAAGTGCTCAACTTTTGATGGATTTTTGGCTGTCTGAGAGGATAGCGATTTCCTTGTTCCGGTATTTTCTGTCGTGGTTGAACTGGATGCACCTTTCTATGGTGTGGATTTCAGCTTCAAAACGCTAGGGAACTGGCTCATCGGTTCGGTATATTTAGTGCGAGGCCCCCGTCCGTATACCATGGTAGTAAATGGTTTTCTTTTCCAGTGCTTGGATGGATTCTCTGCTCTAAAAATTGGCGATCTGGCTCTATTTTATAGATATGTTCATGGACGATGCTCTTCTGAAATATCAACAATTGTTCCTCCCTTGGCAGTCTCCGCGAGATTAACCCGTCGAGTTGAGGCTTCGCACCCCTTCGTGGTCACTTTGGAGACTTGCAGAACATCTCTTTCCAAAGACTCGTTCATCCAACGAACAGCGAGGCTCTGGAACATATTGCCCAGGGAGGTGTTCACCGAGGCATATAACCTCCAGAAATTCAAGAACACCAATTTCCGTTGGTTCTCACGATGTTCTCCGAACATTACAGGATATCCCTTTTCGTGGGAACCAGAACATGAAAAAAAATTCTTTCTTGGTATACTTAGTTCCGTTCGAAAAGCAGAGGTCCTTAGAATGTGATGTCTTCCAACCCAGGAAATAAACAACATGAGTCTTTCTTTTCAACTATAGTTACTCTGAGAGACGGAAATTAATGTTCAAGTTATTAATTTCAAAGATGAATATATATAAGCGATAAAAATCGTTTTTTAAGGAAAAACTCAAAAACGAATCAGTTTTCCTCGAACGGTTTCAGAGTACATGATCTCCGCTTCAAGAACATCAATTCCTGACGATACAGTAACTTCTATCATTTATGTGGAAACTTTTTCCCCATAGTTACTCGGGCGCCAACACTGGAATTTGATCTGTTTCAATTTTTCAAAATCTGTTATACTTTCTAAATAACAAGTTACCTTTCATTGAAACCTGATTACCTTGTTTGTTTTTCTGAACACTGACGCTGAAATACCTCGGTATATCGCCCTGTATAATACATTATTTATTTTTCAGTGATATTTGAAGACAGTGGTAATGATGCCAACAATAGGGCAACAACATTTCCGTTCAATGAAGCAATGATAGCAACAGCCCTAACAATCTGTTTACATTGCAGGTGATCTTTTTTTAAACGAATTTATGTATAGATAATAATAAATGTTACAAATACAGACTTCCATGGTTCCATTGTGATAATGTAATTTAAATTTATTGTATTCCGATGTGTCTAAACGAAAAATGGGTTGCTTAGGCATTGACAATATGAGTTTATTTAAAAAAATATATTGTGAGATTTCTATATATTGAGTAAACGTGAAAATAAATACCGCTATTTCGCTTACAACTGTGTTTTTTCACATCCCAAATTCCCCAACAAATAAACCCACTCGTTATACTATATAAATATATTTACAAATTTCTATTTACATTTCTTCAAATTGCAATAAAATATTACAATCAATTTACAATTCTTTTAAAAAATTTGACTGTTCTATTTAGTTACTGTTTCAAAAATTAAAAATGAACAAGAAAAACTAACAATAACAATTATTTACAGACAAAAATATATAGAAGAACAGACAATGATAATCTTATTTGGATATATAACATCTAAAATAATGTAGTACACACACCTCCAAAGAGGTTTTGCATCACAATTTCAGATGAAAAATTAATTTGAAGGAAACATTCAACTTAGTGTTAATTTGTCAAACAACCATTGAACACTGCGCGTGCTCATCAATCAATTAAATAAATAATACTCCCCCAACTGATAGTTATAAAAATGTTATCAGTAATTTTCAATAAAAATATTGTTTCCTCAGTTTCAGCTTCAAAAAGGCATATTTGCAAAAAACTACATTGAACAAGCAATAAACCAATAAAATGATGTGATTATTGCATTCCTGGATTCCTGGATAATTACATGATAAATGTTTTAACCACAATTTCATGGTCTGGATAAGCATTGAAAAAATCGATAAAATATGAGAGGATTTTCTTAATTAGGATTTGAACATTCGAACATCCCAAAAAATGTCAATCTTACATGTCAAAAACGGTTGTTGGCTACTGAATGTTTGAAATATCTACAACATATTTGTCTTTTCAACATGGCAAGAAAAAGTGCGAATGTTTAGTTATCAACCATATTTTCCATGATATGTCTTTCAATAAAATGTGCGCAAAATAAGTCGCTATGCAAAAACATATAAAATACCACAAAACTTACAATTTTTTTACTAGAAACTGCAGTGTTTTATATGTTGTGGGCTTAAAGACTCATTTGGGACACATTGTAGATAAACAGATAAATTAATCAAAGTTCATCTATACAGGGTGGCCCTTTGAAAACGAAACAAGAGGCTCTGTAGGTCGCCAAAACCGGATTATGAAAAAACTGAAAACGTCAACAACATTTTTGAGGTGGACATCGTTCTAAAATATTTTCAGCCCTGCGGCGTTGGCCCTTTTACCGAAAAGAAGCAACAACTTTGTTATTTCAAATGGAACACCTTGTATTTCATTGCATTTTCAGATTCTCCCCGAAGAGCTGATTTCATCAATGCATCACACTTGAGATCTAGCTGCAATGATTACAAAGCTTTAGGGTGTTCAAAATCGATATTTTTCAACATTAGGATTTTTTTGTGTCGAAACTATTCATCATTGGTCAAAGCGGCTCATATAACCCTATCTCAACTTTCGATTCACTATCTACTGACATTTATTTGAAACAAATACAGGGTGGTTCAAGTTTCAGAATTCTGATCACCCTGTATCTGTTCCAATTAAATATCAGTAGATAGTAAATCAAAAGTTGGGATAGGGACAGAAAAGCAGTTTTGACCAATAATGAATAGTTTCGACACAAAAAAATGGCGAAAAATCTCGATTTTGAACACCCTATATCCCTGAAATCATTCCAGCTAGACCCCAAGTATGATGAATTGATGAAATCAGCTCTTCGGGGAAAATCTAAAAATGCAATGAAATACAAGGCGTTCCCATTTGAAACAACAAAGTTGTTGCTTCTTTTCGTTAGAAGCGGCAATAATTGGATAACCATATTATACGGTTAGTTGGATTGGATATGACCCCCCCCCCCCCCTATCACCCCATTTTTTTTATCCATTACTTATGGGACACCCTGTATATAAATAAGAGATTTTTTTCGTATCGATAGTGTGTATAATGGTAATTAAAGACTGAGTGATTGATATGAGAAAGCATTGCGCTGAGATAAACAATATCACATAATCAAAATAGATAATGATTCACACAAAATTCCAGTATTTAGTATTTGTGTTATTTAAAATAGTAATGTGTTTTCCGCATTTGAATGAGAATAATCAACAGATAATGGTTATAGACATATTCAATGTCCAATTACTTCAACGTGTTGCCATATTTTTCAAAATTTCTATACTTCTATCCACCTTCTACAATAGAAATTGTTATTTCATCAATCGTCACTGTTACGGCGTCATATGACTTCAAAAGTCTGATGTAATTTTGATACAAATGAAAATTAAGGGAACTTCGAGAACCTATCATTGAAATTATCACGAAAATGTAAGACGGAGATGGTTGGACATTTTTTTCATCGAGACTATTAAACAAACCCTATGTTAACAGAAACTCTTATCAATAAGCATCCTGCTATTTGAACCTGAGACACATTATTAGATAATGGCTACACGTTTGTTCCAAGTCTTGGTTTGCTGATTAATGACTACATTTCAACTAAATAGTCGTTTGTGAACATACTAATCATCCCCACGGTATTACGTTGCTATTATTAGATTCTATACCTTTCCTCATTATTTAGGAAGAGAGTGTGTTATTCACGAAGCCCTAGAAGGAACACCTGAAATAAAAACTCCTCAAATTCCGAGTTTACAAATTACAATTATTATTCTTCGTTCGCCAATTCATAGTTTGTTGATGTATTTTGAATGATGAAATGATTACCTATAGATATATAATTATGTAATTCCTCATACCAGATCCTGTTCTGTCTGGAAGTTATTTGTTTAATAAAAAAAACTCAACCTTCCGAGATATGTGGGAATTTCGAAATTTCGAGTTATAACTCGGAATATTGGATGTAAAATTCCGAGATATATGTTGGAATTTTTAAATTACAAGTTATAACGCGAAATTTCACATAAAAATTCCGAGGAAGAAGTGAAAATCTAGAAATGCCGAGTTATAATTCGGGATATTGGATGTAAAATTATAGTTGGTTATAACTCGAAATTTCACAATTAAATTCCGAATAATATCTCGATATTTTGAAATTTTAAAATGTTTTGACTTCTTTATTTTGTGTCCTTCCAGAGCCTCAAAGAATTTTACAATGGGCATTCAATTACTCCACTGTGTCGTGATATCATAGTTTATTTTTGAATTTTTAGAGCACCCAGCTTGGCCAAATATTCCTTATACTCCATAACAAAATATCATGTAAATGTTGGAGACTTGGCAAAATGTGCTGAATGCTGAGAACTGACAAGACAACGTCCACAATTCGTGCGCCGTGTTGTCACGTTTACACGGAAACATTTTGAGACAGTGGATTTTTATAGCTAATTAGGAATATCACCAATACATAATTGAGAATCCAAGAATTATTAAATAACTGATATTTCTAATCGTATTTCAACATATGGCAACTGTGCTATGTTCTGCCCCGACTTACAAATCGTCGCGTCAGTTTTTACTCGCGGTAGATTTCTAGAAATCTTAAAATTACCGTGGCATTATTGATGATTCAAGCAATTAACAAAATATTCCACTTGCCTATTAAATTCCGACTTACATCTTGGAATTTTGAAGTGTTTTTAGGGAGTCTTTCCCTTTCAGGGCTTCATTGCCTGTAACAACAATAGTCTTTTCCCAAATACTCTTGTTTATTGCAATTCAAATGTTCATAAAAATAATTGGGAAAAAACTTGAATAGGCTCGACTTTGGCACAATGCACAGTTAAAACAAATCTTCCTGTACAAGATAAAACGATAATTATTCCATTCAACAACAAATTCCAAATTGACTTTTTATTATGATGAATGTAAGTCCTCGACCTTTATCAGATGAAACATTTATGGTCTTACGCAAAAAATATCTAATGAGAGTTATGAAAGTAAGTAGGGGTATAGTAGTAATTATTGGCTCATCAAAACAATAAAAGTGTTTACATTTGCAATAAAAAATAATGAATAAACTATAAAAACCAATGGCAATGAAATCAAGCAGCCGAAACTATTCAAGCTGTTGATTTATAATAAAATTGAATAAAAAAAATAAGAGAAAAAAAAGGAATGAAAAAAAAAATAGAATTCATTTACAAGATCACCAATGCACCAACCAAAAATTTTATAATTCTGAAAAAATGTTTCTAACCCCACTTTCAATCAGAAACTTTTGGTCTCTAGATCTACAGTGAACATCTTCCATGGACTGAAAAAAAATAATTGAAAAGCTCACATTTATCAATTCAGGCAGATTTCTTGTAATCACAAATTGAGATACCTTTGAAATACCTTTTTTTCACTCAATCTCTAATTGGATTATTCAATCAAAACATCAAAATTCAAAATTGGACAATGCATTGTAATATTCTCTGCAAATATATATCCACCGACCGTATAATCATTGTCACGGTAGGCCATGGACAAAAAAAAAACAACAGATAATAAACATAGGGGAATACCATAGTAATGCAAACTGAAATTTCAAACTACAAATACTTTGTTGAAAACTTTTGAATCCATACACATTGAAGTTGAATGAAAAAAAATCATTGAAACATCATCACTAAATTGAAATTATAAAAGATAAAAATTGATCAAATTGTTAGTGTGTTTGTGAAAAAATGTAAGAATAATTATGATAAGTCATTGTTTCATTAGATTCCTGTTCGTTTGGGCTTGCTCTATCTGCTGAACTTGATTTTTTTCTATAACTTTCTCTGTTTACATCATGCCATGAACGGAGACAACTATGGGGAAAAATCAAGTATAGCAAGTTCAGCAATACAAAAGAACAATAGGGTTCATCTTTGATTTTGTCAATGTATGATATAATAGTCATGATAAAACGATAATTAATGTTGTATGAATCGACCTTGAAAGTATTTTTTTCCTTCTGATATGTTGTCTTATAAATAATAAATGCAAGATGTAACTGCCATTTTTATCCGATTTGAGAGAATAAAAGACGAGAATGCGATAGTTTGAAAAACACTGAAAACTAGTGCAAATGTTTTGAATGGAATGATAAAATTTGCGGTTAGTTAGTCCTGAAAAACATAGGAATCAGTAGTATATCTAATC